CCTCCAGCCACGTAGCGCGCCTTCAAGAGAGGCAGCTCTCCAGGGGGGCGCTTCACCTTGAAGAGCCACCGTCCATCGACTACGTTCACCCCAGGAGGGGGAACTGCGTCGACGTAAGTGCCAGTGGACCTCCAAGATGCCATCTCCTGCTCCATGGCAGCTATCCACTGAGAGGCCCAGGGTCCCGAGGAGGCCTCAGCGTAGGTGCGAGGGGTCGGGATGTCGAAGGCATCTGGGTCACCCTCTGGGACTAGAAGCATGGAGCAGAGATGGGGAGCGGCCTCGGAAATGAAAGCAAGCTCGTACTGCCTGTCTTCTAGAACGTCACTGCCAAGGGCAGGTGCACCCCCGACAGACGGAGGACGGGCAGGGTCAGAGACCAGAGCGGTAGCATAGTCAAGGCGGCGGGTAGAGGCGAAGTCATCGACAGCAGCGACAAGCGCGTCAAGGCGCGAGACAGGAACAGACGGGTCTGTAACAAGAGAGGCAAGGACCCGAGGGACAAAGGGATGAGCGACACGGAGGTAGTCAGACAGCGGGGGAGGTGCAACAACAAGCGACGAGGGAGGAGGCGAGGGGAGGAAGAGAGGACAAGACGAGTGGGAACGGAGCAACATAGGGTGGGAGCACAGGACAGGAGAGACGGGACGAGCACGTGAGGGATGGCGAGACCAAACGTGTGACGTAGGTGTAGGGTCAGGAGACAGCGGGGGGGACACCAGAGGAGAACGAGGAGGAAGACGGGCCGGAGAAGAGTCCGGGGGCGGGAAAACAGGGCCGTAGACAGGAAGAGGAGAAGGGGGAGAGGGAGACAGCGGCGAGCGGTCAGGGGAGGGAAGGGCGAGCAGGCGAAGAGCGGAGCCCGGCGGCAACGGCTGCGGCGGCTTCGGTGACGGCTGGGTCTCGACCCTCTGACCGGCAGAACTCTCAACGGCAACACCCCCAGAACCAACACCCCCACAGTGAGAACCCCCTCCAGCACCAGCGGCACCCCCAGGCCCGCCGGGATAGACCACGCCAGGAGCCGCAGGACGAACACCCTCCTCAACGTAAGCACCCCCAGAGGCCAAGAGCGGCAGCGGCGGCGGCGGCGGCGGCGGCGGCGGCGACTGCGACAGTGGGGGAGGAGAGATCGGGGAAGGGGGACGCGGCAAGGACGGACAGGAGGAGACACGAGACGGGGCAGGACGAGGCGGGAGGGGAGGAGGGGCTACTGGGGGAGACGGAGCCAGGAACAGGGGAGGGGGGTACCGGGAGACCTCGGTGAGGGAAGCGGCGGAAGAAGGAGACAGACTCGTCAAAGGTGACGTCACGAGAGTGGAGGAAGCGGAGAGCCTGCGGGTGGTAGAAGAGCTAGTCCGACGAGTCCAGGGGGAAAACGAGGAAGACACAGGGGACAGTGCGGGCAGTGAGCTTGTCCGTGCCAGAGGCACGAACGTGAGCAAGGCAGCCCCATTCGTGGAAACGCAGACGCGTCACCGGGGGACCCCGTCCAGAGGAGGGTCAGCGAAACCTGCGGCCGCTGGGAGCGTGGCCATAAGTTAAGCTGGTAAGCAGCGTAGCGAACAGCGAACGGCCACAAAAAATGGGGTGCACCGGCATGGATCATGGAAGTACGAGCCACCTCCATGACCAAGCCGATGCGGCGCTCAGCAACCCCATTCTGCTGTGGCGAGTCCGGCAAGGCGTACGATTTGGTGATGCCCTCCGCACGACAGAACTGTCCAAGCCGACCAGAAGCGAACTCTCCGCCACGGTCAGAGTGGAGACACAGCACAGGGAGACCGCGGTGAAGACGCGCAGCTACAACCCACGGGAGAAGAACGTCGGGCATGTCGGCCTTCCGCTCCAGGGGAAACACCGTGGTGTAGCGCCTGTAGTCGTTGACGAGCACAAGAAAGTAGCGCTCACCGCGCGGTCTGAGGACGGGGGCTGAGCCCAAAACGTCCAGGTGCAGGGTCTGAAGGGGAGCAGTAGCAGGGCGAAGCGAGGAGGAGTAAAGGGCACGGCGGAGCCAGCCCTCGACGCAAGGTGTGCACGGTGGCGCAGGCGAGGGGGGAAGTGCGGGGAGCGACTCCGGGAGGCCTAAGACAAGACCGTGCTGAGACATGTGACGCAGGCGCGGGAGTGCAGGGTGACCTAAGCGGTGGTGCCACAGAAGGGACGGGTGTGTGAGGGACCGACACGAGCAAGCTGCAGCGACCTGGGAGGAAGCACCAACTGAGGGGGAAGCGGTGTCGAGGGTAAACAGACCGGACACCGGGTCCCGGGGGAACGTCGCAAGGGGGGAACCTGAGACTGCCTCGGTACAGACAGCGAACCGCTCATGCCCAGAGAACGTAGTGGTGACGCCGAGGTCCTGAAGACAGCCGACACCAACTAGATTCCTGGAGAACGAGGGAACGTGGAGGCCTGTAAGAGAGCCCGAAGGAACGGCTGGACAGGGAAGGGAAGTGGAGCTGCGAGTGACGACAGGTCCCGCGGAGGGGTCAGCTAGAGCGACAACAGCAAGTGCAGCAAGCGGCGTGAGCGTGGAGCGGTCACGGAAGAAGCATGCAGAAGCACCGGAGTCGAGAGTGAAGGACAGTGAGGCAGTAGCGGAGGCCGGGAACGGAGCCGGTGCAGAAACTAGGCTAGGCAAACTAGGCAGTCCTACGCCTGACGCAGCAGGGGAGGCTAAGCTATACAAGGGTGCTACGCCTAAACTAGAGAACGCAGGGTAATAAGATCCAGCAACACTAGAAGCGTCAGCATACAAGGCATGCAAAGCAACACCTATCTGATCCGTATCTAAGTCGAAGATCGGCATGCCCTTGCGAAGCAGGCTGTGCCAGTCGGGGAGGTCCGGGGCCGGGCCAAAGCGACGACGAAAGTGATCGTCGAGGCGGCGGAAACAGCGGGCTGTCGGGTACGGGCGGCGGCACAGAGTGCCGCGGAGAGGCCCTGTCTTAACCTGGTACTGGCAGGTCACACCAACGTAGCTGCCGGTAGACGCCAAGCTGCGCGGGCTGCCACCACGGCCACCACCTACGGAGGTGCCGGGCCAACCCGGGGGATGACGAGCTCACGGCTGGGGCTGGGACAGCTGCTGCGACGACTGCGACTGCTGCGGCTGCTCCTGCTGCTGGGGCGACAGCTACTGCTCCTGACTAGCTGCGGCAGTCCCCTCAGTAGAACCACTGTCACCGGCACTACTACCACTACCACCAGCTCCACCACCACGCCCTCCCTGGCGGCCACGACCGGCGCGGCGCGGGCGCTGCTGCGAGTGCACGGCAGCGGCAGTCTCGGTCAGAGGGGTCGCAGTGGCGATCGCAGCCGAAATGTCAGTAAACGTACACTGGGAGGGGGCACAGCTGTGAAAGATAGAGACTGTCGGTGCACCGTTCGAGTGAGCGATAGTGCGCTGGCGAGTCTCGATCTCGGTCAGGGCGGTGACAAAGGCTGTCAGGGTGAGGTCACCCGGGTGCTGGCTAAGGATGTGGTCGCGGGCACTAGCAAGGCGGTCAGGCAAGCGCATAGCGATAAAGTAAAGGGTCATGCAGAAGTGGGGAGGGAGTGCAGTGAGCTGGGCAGCAGTGCTAGCAGTGCGGTAGCGAGACTCGAGGGCGCGCAGGTGAGTGGCAAGATCAGCAACAGTAGGGAAGGAAGCAAGGTCTGGGAAAAGCATAGGAAAGAGCAGGCGGCCTGCAGTAGCGGAGGCAGGTGTGGAATAGCGAGCAACTACAGCATCTAGGTAAGCCTTGGCTGTTTCCATTGTAGCGAAACGCGAACGCTCAGGCACAGGGAGGGCGTGACTAATAGCGACCTGAGCAACTGCATCGCGAGAGTCCCAGATTGCATAGGCAAGTGCAGCAGTAGAGAACGCCTCACGCTCAGTAGAGGTGGGGTCAGCAGGGAGGGGAGTAGGTGCAGGGGGGCGGGGAAGCAAGCCATCAACATGGACAACCAAGGAGTGCCCATCCTGACGCTGACCTGTGAGGTGATGGCGGAGATCGAACAGCCAGGCGGCGAAGTCGACCGCGTGGCCCTCCGCGTCCAGGCGGAGGACGAAGTCGGCCATCGTGCACACTCAGCGACACAGGGACACAGCGGCACAGCTCCACAGGACAGGGGCAAGACGCTCCAGCGCGGCAAGCAGACGATACGAGCCGTTGGAGCCATGCAGGCGTATCAGGGCCGGGCAGGCAGTAGGAGAGACCGGGCGAGCGCTGTGGGACAGACGGGCGCAACTGGCCGGGCGGGCACGAGGAAAAGGCCGGGCGGGCGGTAGAAGAACCGGGCGGGCGCTAGGAAAGGGGCCGGGCGGGCGCTAGGAGGGGTCGGGCGAGCGCTAGGAGGAGCCGGACGAGCACTAGGAGGGGCCGGGCGAGCGCTAGGAGGGGCCGGGCGAGCGCTAGGAGGGGCCGGGCGGGCGCTAGGAGGAGCTGGGCGGGCGCTAGGAGGGGCTGGCGCACGCAGCAGACCAGGCGGGCGCGGTGGGGGCCAGGCGGGCGCTAGGGGGGTCAGGCGAGCGCGACGGGGCCAGGCGGGCGCGTTGGGGCCAGGCGGGCGCGACAGGGCCAGGCGGGAGCGGTGGGGCCAGGCGGGCGCGACGAGGGCCAGGAGGGCGCTACAGGGCCTGGAGGGCGCGACGGGGACTAGGAGGGCGCTACGGGGCCTGGGGGGCGCGACGGGGGCCAGGAGGGCGCTACGGGGCCAGGAGAGCGCGACGGGGGGCCAGGAGGGCCCGACGGGGCCTGAAGGGCGCGACGGGGGCCAGGAGGGAGCGACCGGGCCAGGCAGGCGCTAAGGGGCGGGCGTGCGCTACAGGCCGAGCGGGCTCTAAGGGCCGGGCCGGGCTAGGTAGGTAGGGGGAGGCGAGAGGCTAGGGCGCGGGCGGAAGCGGGTGGGTGGACCTAACCTACTCGATACCATGTTAGAATACGAGAATGATGACTAGTGTGAGAAACCTAGAACATATACCGGTACCTGTTGGGGTTGTACTACAAGCTTGTGTTTGTGTCTTCGACATGTCGCCCTCAATGCTAACCTCTCAGCCTGCCTACCTCCATTCCCTTGGGACTTCTGTTCCACAACATTTCTCCTCATTTGGTACTCACCCGTCTGATCATGTACCTCTCAGATCATGTACCGTACCTCCCTGCCCCCTGCTATTGCATTCACTGTCTATGCCTTGTCTGCTCTCCCTTTAGTGCTCTTCACCAGAAGCGTGTGTGGAGCAGAACAAGAAGGATATGTACAGTACAGTAGAAGAACGCAAGTCTTGGCAGTACAGCGCCAAACCAAATGCGAAGGGCCATAATTAAGGACCATTTGTCTGCTCTTGCTCTTGTGACAGATCTGGCGAGTAGGCTGAATCGTTGTGGAGTGATAGCCGTGCAGATGTAGCTTCACACAGCGGCGGCAGCGCGTGCAGCAGCACCTGGCGCAGGGCGCCAAGGGACGCAGCGCCATGCAGCGCTGCTCTCAGCTCCCATCCCCGGCGATACAAGCCCTGGTGGGCAAAGGACACCGACCGGCCTGCTTTGGGAGGAGGGGAGAGCAGACAGGGCAGACGGCAGAGGGGGAGCAGAGGGCGGGCCGAGGGGGGCAGAGGGGGAGCAGAGGGGGCAGACGGTGAGGGTTCGCTGGTGAGGCGAAGTGTATGGAAAGCAGGGCGAGAGAGAAGATGGAGATTTCTCAATACAAACGGCACGCAAACAAGACGATAGGAGATTATTGGGAGCGACAAGGTCATGGGGGGTGCAGGGAGAAAAAGTGGAGGACGGGAAGAGGGTACGGACAAGAGGGTGGACCGTAGAATGAAATCTTCCCAGAAGAAGTTCATCGCTGTCCAGCCCTCATACCTGAAGAATACTTGTCACACCTCCCACTATCTTACCTCCACCCCTCCCACCTCCCACCTTCCCACCTCCCCCCCTCTCACCTGCGCCCCTCCTCCCAAGCATATATTCCAGATGCAGACGAATGCCGGGCCAGGTTACCGAGCCTGACTCTACCGAGCCTAGCTGGTGGCAGAGGGCGAGGTATTCGTAGGCCACAGAGAGCCGGTCCTCGCGGGAGGAGATGCCGCCGCAGAAGAGTTTGGGGTCGTGGAGAACGCCCTCCGCTGACATGGCACCGTCGGCCCCGGTGAACGCCAGGTTGGCTGCCACGTCAGCAGGAGACGAGATGTTGCCATTGCTGAGCTGGAAGGGTGAACAGAGGAGTCAAGACGTGAGCAAGGAATTAGTGATGGAGAGGGGTTGGAGGAAGGGTGGTGGGGTGGTGGGGGAATAGGGGATTCGAGAAGTGGGGTTGGGCATGGAAGATGGGAGCCCAATAGGGGGAAAGGGTCGGAGTGGTGTGGGAGCAGGGGGTGCATGTTGGTTGGGCTGTAGATGATGAAAGAGGTGGGACGACTGACGTGATGGAATATGAGAGACAGGTAAGGGAAGAGAAAAAAGTCGCAGGGCGCAGGATGAGGCCTGGCTCACACATATTACACACACTGCACAAGAGAGAGAGAGAGATACGACAGAGGAGGGAAATGTGAGAAACATAGGCATAGAGGACAGGGTGACGTGGCATGACATGGCATGGCAGCACGGACCACGGGGATGTCCAATGCCCTCTTGACAGCTCGCACAGCTGCCAGGTCAGCAGGGCCCACTCGCCGCTTCACGGTGCCAGCTGGCGTGCGAGCGTGCAGCGCTATGAGAGAGCAGCCCGCCTCCTGCAGCCCAAGGCACAGGGCGATGGTCTGAGGGGGGAAGGGGGAATGAGAGGGGGGGAATGAAAGGAAGAGATGAGTCATGATTCCCTGGTGACTGCAGACCGTGGCAGAGAGAGATAAGCTGGGGGCGATGGAATGGGGTGGCGGTAACGAGTGAAGGAATTCGCCAAAGCAGAAAGAGATGGTGTTTAAAGCGAGAAACCCAAGAAGCGCGAAACTTAATCCCAAAGGTTTGGTTTCAGGTTGGCGGAATCAGCGAAACAGTAATAGCGGCCCCCCAACACCCCTCGCCACACCTCGCTTCTTGAGATCCTCGCTTTAAAGAAGGAGAAGGAACGGGAAAGACTAGCCCACGTGGCAGAGAGAGATCGTGCGCAAGACGAAGGGAGGGAGGAGTGGTCCTGCAACGCAGCGCACCTGGTGCAGTGAGGACATTGATATTGAAAGATGAACGTTGCGCACGGCAGAGAGAGATCGCCTGGGAGACAAAGGGATGGATGGAGGAGTGCATTGGAGGGCAGCGCACCTGGTGCAGGGAAGGCATGAGGCGGATCTTGCAGAAGACGGGGATGGGCAGCTGAGAGGCCATGGCCCGCACCATGGCAAACACCAGCGGCAGGTCCTGATCACAGGGGAGCATGGGGGCATGGGGGCATGGGGGCATGGGGTCATGGGGGCATGGGGGCATGGAGGCATGGGGGCATGGAGGCATGGGGGCATGGGGGCATGGGGGCATGGAGGCATGGGGGCATGGAGGCATGGGGGCATGGGGGCATGGGGGC